AAGTGTGTATAGATTTTGTATGCTGCTTCTTCCCAGTTAACTTAGTCATGCACTTTTACCCATGTATGCACAATGAGTAAGAACGTTTTCCCAGTTCCAATTCTACAGTAATACTGAAATTGAATGGAGCCAGGTTAAGACTTTTGGAAACAAAAAGTAACAGGAACTAATGAAAGTTCCCCACCTAGTGGATATCATTCCCCTCGTGAAAGAGATAATACAAACATGTATTTGCCCCATCCACATCCATTTCTGATTTTTGATCACCAGTAATCAGAAAGTGAGTCTGGAGAGCTCCTTAGTAAGATGCACCCATTATAATGCAGGGGGTCCTGCATGGTGATTCTTACCCTCCAAGATGCTAGGAGCTTGGCTCTCTGGGTTTGGGGGTAAAGGGTAGTTAAATCTTTCCTTCACTTTGGTTCCTTTCCCTCAGTCTTAAAGTACACAGGGTACCAGAATGTTGTATGCAGCAATAGCAGCTCTTAATGTCATCTGTAATCCTAGCTGTGATCAGGAGACTTCAGCAGAAACCTAATGGGACTTTTTTTGCCTGATGGGACTCTCAAATATTGCTTGAGAAATCAAAGTGGTATTATAGGGTAAACCAATATGAAAGGGCTTTTTGTTCGCTTATTTTTAATTAAAGTCACTATTGCTTCCCTGTATCTTCCAATAAGGGGAAAGTTATGTATCATGCATGTTTAAGTGGAAAGAAAGTTTCCTGGTGGATAAGATGTTCCATGGATAACAGAAACAAAGCAAATCAAATTTGGTAAGAATTTGAAAAATTTCTTACCAATGGTGGTTTTGCTAACTGGGGTTTTACTTTATGAAAAGGGTTTATATTTTATGCCTTATTTCAAAAATAGTCTTTCAACTGAATGTGATTTGTTTTACCCAGTTCCTTTAAACAAAGCAATTTAGATCCCTTTCCAATAGTGTAAGTGTGCAAGATTAAAATGCCAATTACTTATCCTCTCCTCCAAGTTGTATTTAGTAAAAAATAGTAGCTGTTGAGCACGGGACTACCATTTTATAAATAAGAAAACTGACACATGGAGACATCAAGAAATATAGCCATTCCTCACTTAATGGCCTACTTGTTTGCTCAGATGTAAGACCAGTTCTCCAACAAAGCTAATCCCTTTTCTCAATCTGAGTGTTTTGGGAAACTCCTCTCAGTCTTTGTCTTCTTCTTGTAGTCAGTTAGTATTCACTACATGAAGCATACACAGCCATGCAAAATTACATATTTTGTTTATAAATTTGTACTTTATTGTGTGCCCACAGTAGAATTCAGATTAAGAAAGAACAATTATAGTGGATTTATACCATAGTGTTGTGTGTCTTGCTTTCTGTCAGTTATCTAATATATGCTTTTTGTACGGATAGAGTTACACTATTCTAGTGTGGTGTTGCTTGTTATCTGTTGACAAATACATATGCTTTGGTGCCATGACTCACTGCAAAGTAGCTGCCTTTAGGCTCCTCACTTATTGACCAAGTCATACAAATGGACTTTGGTCATTAAGCAAGGAGTGCCTGTATATGCAAGTCACAGAACTAGTAAATGGTGAAGCTGGGAAGGCTGATGCCAGAGCATGTGTTCTTAACCACTTTGCTAAAGCAACTGACTCAAACAGATTCAAGGAATAAAGTGAATATTGAAGCTGTTGGCTTAACTAATGGAATCCCAATAGCTTCTAAAGTTTACGGTTCTGACACAACCATATCAATGAACTTTACAAGAAACAGAAACTATCTACCCTCAATTCTAAACCTGGGAGCCTATCCCATAAACTCTGAGTTAATTGCAATCTGCAAGGAGAATTACAGGCCTGACTCTCAAACTAGTTAATAACAGAAGAGAGAGTATAATATTCACCAGAGGTGTTCATAATGCCTCATTCTACTTCTGAAAAATGCAACACCATAGATGCCATGCTCCTGTTAATCGAATTGGTTACAATTACTGTGTGAAAGAGCAAATAACCAACACAGAGTTATCCTCAGAACTTCTCTGAGAAGTTGGGAAATTCTTCACTGATAGAGAAGGGTGCCTGGACAATGGGGAGAAATGCTCCCTCTACAGGAACATCTATGGGGCAAGCAATGAGAAATGATCTCTACTTTCTTCCTATAGACCTAAGACCCTGACCAGAAAATCTCACCTTAGGGCCCCATGACATTTTGAGGCTGGTGATTCACCAAAGGGCACATACCAAAGAAAGTTTTCAGTGCCAATGAACTTGGTTAGGTTTGGAATATACTTTTGGAACTTTTGTTTCCTGTAGGTTTTATGACATATTTAATAATTTACCTACATAATTATTACTCCACAATTACAATTATGATAAAGTCAGTTCTCATATTCTTGTTGAACTACTAAATAGTCCCATTTATTTAAGAAAGCAGAACTCAAATTCATCATTTTTAGAGATGACAGATAAGAAATATGTTCAGAATTTATTTCAGTGAATAAAACTAGATTTTCCAAGATAGGCTGTTCCTGTATCTAGCAGATTGTTTCTATGCCTTGCACGTGTAAGGACAGGGGATATATTTTTGATTAACTATAAAAATTTTACTAATAATAAAGAAGCTGAGGTGGACTTAGATTTGATACTGCTATTCTAAAATATGAGTAAAATGTCTCTGAATATTGCTTTGTTTTTTCCAATTTATACTAAATCATCTTCCTAAAGCTCAATCTAAAATATAATTTACATTTTTACCTGAAAATTAAAAATATGATAATCTGGTATTGATTCTCATATTCCTTAATGAAGAAGATATTCAAGGATATAAGACTTAAGAATTTTTTAAATTTAATTTTATTCATTCATTTATTTTAATTTGACCAGAGAGAGACACACAGAGAAAGAGAGTGAGAGGGAAAGTGAAAAAGCAAGCAACCAGGTCCAGGCCTCGAACTGTGCTTGGCCATGTGGGAGTGTCCAGTGCCTTAATCACCACAGCACCTTCTGGTTTCTAACCCTGATTTAAAACTGATACCTTTGGACTTTTAAAAATTGAAAATCTAAGTACAACTCAGAATGTTTATAAGACAGAAAAAATTAAATGTCCATTACAATGAATTTTCTCCTAGGTTTATATTATTTTTAACTTATTTTTAGTTTTTAGAGGCTTTTTTTTTTTATTCTTGCTTGTAAGACAAGTTTCCTTTGTTTTCTTTCCTTATTATGGAGTATTACAATCTGAAGACATAATAGACACTAAGATTTAAAAGATGCTTCTTTTAAATGATGTCTCTCTTCTTCATAGATGTATTACCACATTAACACCAACTTTTATTCCAAAGTACACTGATTTTCAATGTTCCCCTCCCCACAGTATAGGCTGCTTTGTCTCTTTTGAAAGAGAGCCTATTGTTGGGGGGGAAGAGGAGGAAGAGAACAGGGACGGCTGATGGAGAGGCTGGGATGGTGAGGACCAGAAGCCCTGAGACATATCCATTTAATTTCAGTGTGCTATAGCTTCTAGCACTTTTTCATACCTATGATTTCCTAGTTATAAGTGTGTATAGATTTTGTATGCTGCTTCTTCCCAGTTAACTTAGTCATGCACTTTTACCCATGTATGCACAATGAGTAAGAACGTTTTCCCAGTTCCAATTCTACAGTAATACTGAAATTGAATGGAGCCAGGTTAAGACTTTTGGAAACAAAAAGTAACAGGAACTAATGAAAGTTCGCCACCTAGTGGATATCATTCCCCTCGTGAAAGAGTTAATACAACCATGTATTTGCCCCATCCACATCCATTTCTGATTTTTGATCACCAGTAATCAGAAAGTGAGTCTGGACAGGGAAGGATACCCAAATCAGATCTGTTCTTAGGTTTTGAACAGGGAATTGTGAGAGATGAGGTATGGTCTGGCACAACAGTTGCATAAGTAATTTTAGCACCACTAACATCTCCACTCCTAAAGCTTCAAGGCACAAGGTCACTTGGTGATGGGCATAAGGAAGGGCAGGCTGCTTAATAAGGTGAGGGACGAACATCTCTATTAGGCAGAGATTTGTTTTTTTCTCAGAAAATTTCTGAGATTTGTACTGTTTCACCTGTGAGGGCAGAGACCTAGTGAAAAGGCCTAGAATATTAGAGAAAGAGAAATGGCAGAGTTTTTTCCCTTTTGTTTTTTGACAGGGTTGTACCACGTTGCAATCTCTTGCCTCAGCCTCTCAAGCAGCTGAGACTACAACACACACTACTGTGTTTGGTTTTAGATAGGGTCTTTCTATGTTGGCCAAAAAATCACAATCTTCCTACATTAGCCTCCCAAACGGTTGGGAATACAGACACCGTGCCTAGTGTTTAAGGAAAGGCCAGAACTCAAATCTGAGCTTCCCAATGTGGCTTCAGCCTCTCAAGAGATTTTTGGTACGTCACTGATACTAATGGAGAGATGTTCTCATTAAAAATCTATACATAAAAATCTCTACATGACTAGGTACAAGTTGTACAAGAAGTAGATTCCCCAACACACTTACAAAGGGTCTTTGTACATGTCACAGAAAATGTACATTATGAACAAACTGTGTAGGTTTCAGGATTTATTTTTATACCACCATAAACTCAAACTTTAAATTCTATTTTTTCACAAACTTTTAAATGTCCTCCCATGTATGATTTTGATACTAAAGTGCTACATGCAACTTAAGATACACATATATAAATTAACTTTGAGCAAGAAAGCATTTTTTTCTTAAGATAGAGGTTAATATCATTATAGTGCTTAAAACATCACTATTATTCATAAAGAAAATAATCTGGAATGACATATACCAAACTAAGTGTAACAGTGGGATGGACTATGATTTTTTGCTCTTTCATTTATTTTTATATTGTGTATATATATTTTTATAATAAATTACAAGAAATATTAAGATGCATATGCATGAAAAGTACCAAGGAAAAGCAACATTTGGGTATTAAAATATCAGTATCATGATTCTTCCTCCTCTCTTTTTTAGGGCTGGCAGATTTACAGAGAAACTTAACTGCAAGGCCCAACGTAAATATAGCCAAGTGGACAGCTTGAAAGGAAGATGGCAACAATGGGCTGACGAACATATCCAATCCCAGAAGCTCAATCCTTTCAGTGAAGAATTCGATTATCAGCTGGCCATGTCCACCCGCCTACACAAAGGAGATGAGGGCTATGGCCGCCCCAAGGAAGGAACCAAAACTGCTGAAAGGGCTAAGCGGGCTGAGGAGCATATCTACAGAGAAATCATGGACATGTGCTTCATTATCCGCACAATGGCTCGCCACAGAAGAGATGGCAAGATCCAGGTCACTTTTGGAGATCTCTTTGACAGATACGTTCGTATTTCTGATAAAGTAGTGGGCATTCTCATGCGTGCCAGAAAACATGGACTGGTAGACTTTGAAGGAGAGATGTTGTGGCAAGGCCGAGATGACCATGTTGTGATTACTCTATTGGAGTGATTCTTCAACGACAAAAGCCTAACTTGATTCACTATTGTCTTAATGCTATCGGGCCACTGGGGAAGTCATAGACACATTTTTGCGCAGATAAACAGAAAAATATGGCATGACTTTCCCGAAGACCTACTAAATGCTAATATACTAAAAATTAAAATGCAAACTTTTCTGTAATCAGTAAATATTAAAACAATTTTGACATAAGTGACTTTTTGGCACTCTATCTCTATGAGGAATTTTGAAGATTCTGAGAAAGCTTACACAAAGTGTTACGAAAGCAAATAGAATATTATAAATGTAGTAATAATATTTAAAATTCCACTTCACTTTTTTGGACAAAACTATTTGGCTATTCATTGCATAAATTATTATAGATGTATAATTGAACATTACCTCTAAAAAAGAATGTTGACTTAGATAAACATCAGCAGAGCATGCGTTTTTTTCTGTTTTTAAGGTTTTTGCCACAGGGCACATGTACCTGCTGAAGTGAGACAAAAAGAGAAAGGGAGAAATCACCCCCCAGGAGCAATTGCCACACTGCAATCCCTTCTCCTCCATTTTCCTCGAGATTTTGGGCATGCATGCACACATGCCCAACATGAATTCTCAAGGTCTGGACTCAAACTGTAGTCAGCCGTGAGGGAATCCAGTGCCTTCACATCACTAGCGAGCCCCTGAGAGTGTTATTTTTGATGAAGAAAAGAAATGTCATTAAATTTGATATAACTAAAGATAATTTTTAAAAAACATTTTGCCAGAGAACACTTGGCACTCACCAGACACACACACACACACACACACACACAGAGGAAGGTTAAAAAAAAATTCTGCATGAGGAATGATCATGCAGCAATCCCTTCTCCATTTCTCCCTCCTTTAAACATTTCTGGGCATACACACATGCCTGGCATGTTTCTTAAGCTGCTCAATCTCGGATTTGAACCATGCAGTCAGCCATGTGGGATCCAGCTATCTCAACCACCAGACGACAAGCTGGCCCAAATCTAAAATGTTGTAAGAAGCTTGACAACATACTATAGTTTTTATTAGTCTCACTTTCAAAACAGATACATCTATTAAGTTTTCAATAAGATGTTTCAGCTGTGGAAGTTCTTCTGTGGACTTGAATTCTAACAGGTTTCCATTACGAACTGGCCTTCCTCCTTCTGTGTGATTTGAACAAATCACACTAAAACACAGACAGACACTGCTGGTGGTCACAGAATCAAGAAAGAAAGTGGTTATGTTTTCCTTCACTGTGAAAGCAGAGCAGAAGTGAGAGCTGCAGGTTTCCTTACCTCTCTAAGACTCCTTAGAGAACACTGCTTATTCTCAAAATCTTAATGATTCATATTATTTGCACATATGTCCATGCACGGTATAGGAGAAATACAGGAAATTCTATGAAGTGGAATGTTCAGTAAGAAGTATTGCCTAGAATTATTAGTAAATTAATGAGACACTGAGAAATTTTAATTTTTTTTCATACTCTAACAAAAAAGCTTTATGAAATGTTTAACTCATTAAACAGCAATTAGTCCTGTTAAAGTGAAAAAATTCTAAGTGATATAATAGCAAAGAAAAACTAATTTGTTAGTTGTCCATTCTGTCCTAAATTAGACTTAATACACATTATATATAAAAACAAAATGAATAAAATGTGAGATTACAATTCTTTTTTTTTTTTTTTTTTTGAGATTTTTTTTTTTTTTTTTTTTTTTTTGAGATGTTTTTGCTATAGGGCGCATGTGCTTGCCAGAAAGACAGAGACAGACAGAGAGACCAAAAGCAAGAAATCACCTCCCAGGGGGATGGCCATGCCACAATCCCTTCTCCTTCATTCTCCTCTTGGGATCTTGGGCATGCATGCACACATGCCTGGAGTGAGTTTAAGCCACCGGATCTGGGAATCAAACCATGGTTGACTACATGGGAGTCCAGTGATATAGCTATTACGCCAACTGCTGGTCCCATACTTTAAAAAATTTTAATTAGCTTGTGTGTGTGTGTGTGTGTGTGTGTGTGTGTGTGTGCTCCCCAGAGAGGATTGGGGGAGTGGTGAAAAAGCAACCTCTTTGGGGGATGGTCATGCTCAATGCCTTCTCCATTTCTCCTTTCAGGATTTTGGGCATGCAGGCACATGTTCCCTGTATGGTCTTTAGCCATGAAAAAACTGTGCAGAAGGCCATGTGTACTTCCGTTGCCTTGATCACCATGCCCCTGGTTGGTTTATAAGATTACAATTCTTGCTATATTCAATGACGGTTACTAAAATATATACTATAGTATTTTGTTGTTAAAACAGAAAAATTAATGTCAAATTAAGATACTTCAAAATAACATTCATAATTGTTACGTGTTACTTTTAAGATAAAATACAGATTAAGTTACTATAGAAATCATTTTTGTTTCCATGTATGATTCTCTTTCAAACTGAAAGTTCCATTTTTTTCTTAAAGAAAGTATCCATACTTTTATTTTCACATACGGTTTATAAAATTACAAATGACCAATATCTCTAAGTAGAAAAAGATGCATAACTCTATTACAACAATGAAATCTATGTCAAAATTTTAAGACAAGTGGCATAAGAATAAAAGATGTTTTATTATATTTTCTGTTGTTTTATGCTGATTTAAAGTTACATTCCACAATACCACTTTTTAGTGTTTGATATACAAGAAAATTACAGCGTGCAACTTAGGTTATTTCTACTATCAGTAGACTTTTTTTTCCTTAGTTTTCACAGGCCATGAGTGCTTGTCAGAGGGGTGAGGAGAGTGGTATGTACCCTTGGAGAGGATGGCCACACCACAATCACTTCTCCATTCTCTTCAAGGGATTTTGAGCATGCACATGTACCTTTTTTTTTTTTTAGTCATACAGTCACCCGGTCTGAGACTTGTACTCTATGGTTGGCCACGTGGGATCTAGTCATCTTGACCACTACACCATGGTTGGCCTCTCAAGACTATTTAAATCAAGGCTTTGAGAGTTCTTTCATATTCAACTCTGAATCACAATAATTTATGCAGCCACTGATGCAGATTATTTCCAGTTCAATTTGTTGAAATTTGGGGATAGAGTAGAAGCCCTCTTCTCAGAAAGCTGACTTAACACTCTTCTGAATTAGGGCTGGCTGTAAAGTTAGAAAGCTAGTTTCCTTAGAGGAAATGCCAATGTCAAAATTTTAAGACAAGTGGCATAAGAATAAAAGATGTTTTATTATATTTTCTGTTGTTTTATGCTGATTTAAAGTTACATTCCACAATACCACTTTTTAGTGTTTGATATACAAGAAAATTACAGCGTGCAACTTAGGTTATTTCTACTATCAGTAGACTTTTTTTTCCTTAGTTTTCACAGGCCATGAGTGCTTGTCAGAGGGGTGAGGAGAGTGGTATGTACCCTTGGAGAGGATGGCCACACCACAATCACTTCTCCATTCTCTTCAAGGGATTTTGAGCATGCACATGTACCTTTTTTTTTTTTTTAGTCATACAGTCACCCGGTCTGAGACTTGTACTCTATGGTTGGCCACGTGGGATCTAGTCATCTTGACCACTACACCATGGTTGGCCTCTCAAGACTATTTAAATCAAGGCTTTGAGAGTTCTTTCATATTCAACTCTGAATCACAATAATTTATGCAGCCACTGATGCAGATTATTTCCAGTTCAATTTGTTGAAATTTGGGGATAGAGTAGAAGCCCTCTTCTCAGAAAGCTGACTTAACCACCACTCTTCTGAATTAGGGCTGGCTGTAAAGTTAGAAAGCTAGTTTCCTTAGAGGAAATGCCAGCTATGTGCCAGACACACCCTGATAAGCATCTTGTGAGATAAGCATCATCCTAAGGGCTGTCTTGTGATAGTAACTCTTTATGGTTTTTAACTTTGCTTCTTACTTCATTGTGTATTATTTGGGCTAAACGTTTGATTGTAAATCCTTGGTTATATTTTTTCTGGTTTGGGATCCAAAGATCTTTCCCTCACTGTAGGAAAATCCATACCTGAAAACTTAGGAAATTCTGGGAACAAGCAGTTAGCATAATGGCTATGTCGCTGGACTCCCACGTAGTCGACCACGGTTCGCGTCCCGGACCCGGTGGCTTAAAACTCACTCCGGGCGCGTGTGCGTGCGTGTCTAAGATCCCAAGAGGAGAATGAAGGAGAAGGGATTGTGGTGTGACCATCCCCCCTAGAGGGTGATTTCTCGCTTTCTGTCTCTCTGTCTCTCTCTGTCTGGCGAGCGCACTTGCCCTATAGTGAAAACCTCTCCAAAAAAAAAAAAAAAAACACTTAGGACATTTTGACATTAAAAACAAAACAGCTCAGGTGGCAAACAAGCTACTCAAAGTCCTCACAGGTATTTTTATAGTCACTAAATAATGTAAGAAATAATTAGATCTTATCACTGGTAATTCTAAATTCCCAATATTAAGTAGTATACAATTGGTTTCCCATTCTGAAGAATTTTCCTTTTCTAAACTTTTAGTCAGATATGCAAAGGGTTTCTGAGCTGTTAGTAAGTACGTTTTTGCCCCATTTGTCAGGACCTTCATCCAAATACTTGCTGTCTCTCACCGCTCATTACTTGAAGTGTTACGAATCCGTAATTCTCAGGTTGGTCTTATCATTGCCTACTTACCACCACAAGGAAAGAAGTTCTGAGCTCAGGGTTTTCTTTCTTCCCACACTGTGCTGCAAAATGAGATAGCACCTATTCTCTTGGTTTGCCTTCTGCATTTTTTCTTTCCCTTCCCAAACATTAGTTCTTTTTCCAATCACGACCAAAAGGTATAAAGTAAGAATATTGGTGCAGTTTTTCAAATAATAAAGGAGTACTTCTGTGTTAACTAGAATTTTATGTCCATGAGAACTCATCCTCTGGGGAGGAATGTTCTACCTGCTGTGCTAAATCGCTGTCCTGGGATCATAGGAGGAACAGAAGATCATCTGTACCATGCTGAAGTGGCTCCTTAACATGGATGCCTCAGCATTCCTAGAATTTTAATTTACCTAGGACATTTCTTAGAATAAGCAAGCACAAAGTGATTGTCTCTTCAATTATTTAATTTATAAATATGCTGTATGACCTAACTTCTCAGCCTAGAGGTTTTAAGAGTACGGTGGTTGACCACCTAGCATCCCACAAAGGTTATATAATTATACTGTGTGCCCAGATTTTGGAACCATGCCAGTATCTAATGCAAGTACAATGGATTTTCTTTTTGACCAATAAATCCCACTCCTAAAAATTTGCTTCAAGATACAAAAATACATATACATAATGCATTGTGCCTTGTTTTTAAATGTGAAGTACTGCAAACAATCTAATACATGTAAGACAATAGTCAAATAAATTATGCACAATGGATGCAGCTATAAAAAGTAAGGACAATTTTCAGAATTGGATATAGTTATTTTCAGAGGGTATATATGTGTGTGAGTATTCATATACACAGTTGATTTTATATGCTATATGCACACATAAACACATATATATGCATAAATGCTTAGACAACTTACTTTTAAAATAGAGGATAACCAGAAACAATGAAATTAGCTTCCTGAAGTGATGTATAGAAACTGGTTGAGAGACATTAAGAGAAAGATACTTCTCAGAGCATACCTTTTTTTTGGAGAGGTTTTTGCTATAGAGCACTTGAGCTTACCAGAAAGGCAGAGAGAGAGAGACAGAAAGTAAGAAATCACCCCCCAGGGAAGATGGCCACACCTCAATCCCCTCTCCCTCCACTCTCTTCTCGGGATCTTGGGCACGCACGCACACATGCCCGACTTAAGTTTAGGCCACCGGGTCTGGGACTTGAACCGCAGTCGACTACATGGGAGTCCAACAACATAGCATTACGCCAACTGCTCGTCCCTCAGAGCACACCTTTTTATAAAGTTTGTCTTCTGAAAACTTTCAAACATTTTACATAAACAAAAGTAAAATTAAATAAACAAGGACAGAAGAAAAACTACAAACTGGACAAAAACAAAACAAATAAACCTAATTTTATTTCAAATGATTAAAATAACCTCAGAAGGGTTAAGAAATGTACGTAATTTGCAAATACCATATTTGATTAAGTGCCATCAATCTGAAAGGAAAAAGAACTACAAAGACAATTTTATTTAATTTTGGGGCCAACGGATGGCACAGAGGTAATGGTGCTGGATCCCATATGGCTAAATGTGTGGTTTGAGTCCTGAACCTAGCTGTGAGCATGTGTGTGCATGCCCAAAACCTCTAAATAAGAATGGAGGAGAAGGGATGTGGCATGGCCATTCCCCTTGGGGTGATTTCTCATTTTTCATTTCTATTCTCTCTAGTGAGTACAGACTTCATCTAACAAACTGGAAAATAAAAATCACTTAATTTCATTTGTGAAGGTATACTATAACAAATCTGAAACTATAATTGTGTATCAAAGATTAAAGGGACCAGCAAATGGCATAATGGTCACTGGACACTCACATGGCCAACCATGGTTTACTCTCAGATCTGGTGGGCTTGAAAATCATGTTGGGTGTTTGCATGTGTGTGCCCAAGATGCCGGGAGAACAGAGAAGGGACTGCAGTGTGACAATCCCCGAAGGGTGGTTTCTTGCTTTCTGTCTCTCTAGTAAATGCGCATATCCTATGGCAAACAATCTCTTAAGAAAAAAAAAAAAGATTAAGAAACCTGTGAAGGAAGAGAGAAATGAAGATGTGAACGTGGAATGAGGGAAGACAAGCAAAAACTCTGATTTTACATTGGATTTAGAGGTATTGGGGTGTGATTTCATGCTGCATATGTACTTAGTTCCTATCTTTGTCTCCTGAAAGTCCCTAAAGTGATGTCACCTTAGTAGCAACCAAGCACAACAAGATTTCTAAATACTATCTGTGAAAGAAAACATGGTTCCTTGCAGAAGTGATCAATTCTAGGACTGGGTTACAGAAAGTGCAGCCTGGAACATCTTGTCCCAGGAATAGGCATGTGCTCAAGGAAATAGAGAAATGCACAGAAGTCAGACTGCTGAGAATCCTACTGGTTAAATTTAGAAAATAGAGTATACAATCCTTTGAATAATAAAAAAAGGATAATTCATGAATCCATACTGATAATACATACTCATAAATGATAGGAAAATGAAAGCTCTTCCTTAAAGCAAATGCCAATTAATGAATGTGCTTGAAAGGAAAGAGTTAATTAATTTTTTAACCATTTTACTAATTAGGCAAGAATCCTTAATACATATCAAAAGCATCAGAAAGTATGGAGAACAGAATATCTCCAGTATCATTGTACCTTCCTACACACGATTTACTAGTTCTAAAGGTAAAATGATAGAGTGGAGAAACATGGTACACACTATCTAAATCAACTGATCAATGCTAATATCACCAGTAGGGGGATAAACTTACATTGTGTGTGCCCTCAGGCAAAGGTTGCAACTCCACTTTTGTAGTTTTCCTGTCAAAAAATGCATACTCTAAACTTAAATATAAAGCTCATTGAAATCCACATTAAACTGAGATACCCTCATTGTTAGGAAATGTATGCAAGTATTTACAGATAAAGTGTAATATTAGGCCATCAGAAAAGTCATGAAGCATGTCAGGACATTCCCAATGACCTAACAGAATGAGAATCAGTAAAATAATAGGTGGGATGAGTGGAGTGTGTGGAGATGATGACAGGGAGAGCAGGAACAGTTCTGTAAACATTCATCTTAGTAAACAAATACATGCATTACCATAAGATTCATACCAAAAAATTACATTTGCTGGTTAAAGTATACATTTGCTTAGTTTTAGTAATGCCAAAAATTGTTTCCAAAGGTTGTTCCACTTCACATTCCTTTCTTATTTTTGAGATAGCGTTGTATGTTGTCCTTAAACTCATGAGCCACTTGCTTCATTGTCCCAAGTAGCTAGAATTTTCAGGGGTACACCACTGTGCCTGATCACATTCCCTTTAATAACGGTATTGGCTATTTTAATATTTTGGGGAACTGCTAGTTAGTCTTTCACTTTTCACAATTAGATCTATAATCAGTAATTAATTTTAATTTGTGGTGTCTAGTAAGTCTTTTTGTTCTACACAGGTATCTATTAAAAGGAGCACTATTGCCATCTCTATACTGAGTGGCAGTATTGCCTTATTAAAAAAAATTAGTTTATTTCTTTTTTTAAAAAATTTTATTCATTGTCATTATTTTTTTGAGGTTGGACAGAGAGGGAGAGAATGAAAGTGAGAAAGCAAGCTGCCAGGCCTGGGAATCGAACTGCTGTAAGCCATGTGGGAGTCTAGCCGTCTTAACCAACACGCCACCTGCTGGCCCCCAAAATTAGTTAATTTTTAATCAATACCACATTGTCTTACCGAGCTTCTTAAGAGATCATGATATCTGGTACTGAGGACCACACTCTCATGCTTCAACGTAGAAATTCTTTGTCTTGGGGACCATCAGTTAGAGTAATGGCTATGTCGCTGAACTCCCATGTAGTTGACCGAGGTTCGAGTCCTGGACCCGGCAGGTTAAACTCACACTGGGCACATGTGCATGCGTGCCCAAGATCCCGAGAGGAGAATGGAGGAGAAGGGATGGTGGTGTGACCATCACCCCTGGGGTGATTTCTCGCTTTCTGTCTTTCTGACAAGTGCACCCGCCCTATAGCAAAAACCTCTCCAAAAAAAAAAAAAAAAATTCTTTGTCTTGACATTTCCATATAAATTCTAGAATTATCTTAATTTCCACAAAAAGCCTGGGTAAGACTCACTGCCAATATAATTTTAATTTCAATAGTGCCTGCCAGATTTATGATGGTATATCTTTACCACTTAGGTCTTTGTTTAGTTATGTATCTGATATTTTGAATGGTATTATGAATGGTATTATAATTACTTAATATTGTAAGTTTCATTTCTTGTTTATACATAAAAAATAAGGGTGTTTTTGTTTTGTTTTATATTGAATTTGTACTCAGTGACCTTGCTAAATCAAGAGATTCTTTCAAATCCATGTCTTTTTCCTCATCATTACTATTCTTGTTCAGGCCTCATGATTTCTTTCTGGGATGTAGAGGCTTATTTACTGTTTACCTCATCTCTAGTTTTTCCCCTCCACAAAATTATGTGTTTATTTTTGGAGAGGTTTTTGCTATAGGGCATGTGAGCTTGCCAGACAGACAGAGAGAGACAGAACACAAGAAATCACCCCCCTGGGGAGGATGGCCACACCGCAATCCCTTCTCCTCCATTCTCCTGTAGGGATCTTGGGCACGCACACACAAGTGCCTGGTATGAGTTTTAAGCCATCAGGTCCAGGACTCGAACCGTGGTCAACTACATGGGAGCTCTTCAGGTCCTGGGGTTTATCTTGTTCTGTATTTTCCATCAAAAGTGAAAATATTTTCACTTAAAAATATCAAATCATTTGTACTTCCCTGTGTTTAAGTGCCCTCTTCCCCTCTCCATTTTTTAAACTGTGGTGCTCTTCTTCTTGATTGCATCTTTTCGTCACCATTATCACTACCACTGTCACCATTGTCATCCCAGTACTAGAAGCATTTTAAAACATTAAAATAGTATACTTATATAGAATATTAAATATGAAAATAATTTGACTATTCAATAAATTCAAACTCAAGTCTGTAGTTATGTATTTAATTTTATTTGGTATACACCACTATGACCTTATTGTAGCTGAAATCCATTACAGGATTTTTTTTATGGTTAGTCAACTCCACAAAGACAATAATACTGCTGTGGAAGACCAAAAGGGGAAAAAAAAACTGATAAATTTATTTACAATTCCCTATATTGTAAACATTTAATCTATATACTCTTACTAACTTTTAATGAGTGTTACATATACAAGAAAATGATGCCCTGTATGTCTATTCATATTCAGCAATAGCATATTATACTAGAACATCATATTTTCTTTTCCATTTGCATTATATTTTCTTTAGGTAATAATCTAAACTTTCAAAAGAACTAAATATCTTCAAGTGCTATACAGCTAAAACTACTAAAGCCAATTTATTTGGCTTATAATTTCATTTTTAGAATAATTTAAAGTGCTATAAGCAACCTGGCAATCAACACTTTCTATAAGAACAAAACTACCTTTAAACATTAATTTACAAGATATACAATGTTTATCTGGAATAGCTGAAATTTCAGCACAAAGTCACTGTCACATGTATAACAGCAGGATTTTTTTTTTTTGCATAACATGAAGCTTTGAAATTAACTGATGAGTTATTGCCACAAGGGCTTATTACTGGTTTCCTACAAAAGAGGTTAAGAACTACTATGTATTCTATTGTTTCATTTTTCTGAGGTCACTTGACAGTAAATCAGCATATTCAACAAGTCTACTGAGTTACAATATTTTCTAGTATAATCACTGCCCTTTTATAAGAGCAAATGCTAATGGTAATTAATAACATATACCACTCAAAAAAATCACAAGTTTTTTTTTTTTTCCTTTTGAACAGGAAGAACCTATTTTTTTGGGAGTTGGTATGCAACAAGGATAAAACAACAGAACTATAAAACAGAATATCTGACACAATATGTTGAAGAAATATGCATCTGTTTCATAGTTTGTGTACTTATGATAATGCCCTACTAAGCTACAAATATGTAAATAGTATATTTTCCTGCTTAATATAGTATATCCAATAGAATCATTAAGTTCTCATTCTCCTTTGTCATTTTATAACTCTTTGTCAGATAATTCAATGATGAAAGCATATGCCCAAACCTGCAGATCGTTTGCACTATGGTGTATTACAAACAAAATTCTCAATAAAATTTAAAATACCTGAAAAATTAAGAGAGAATGTTATAGTATGAACTGAAACTAGAACTCAGTGGTTTATGCAGTGTGCATTATTTTGGCATGTGGTTTCTCCTTTGTAGGAACAGTATGAGTATGTCCCAGTATCACCAAGTACCAACCTCACAGACACAGAAGTATCTGGTCTTCATTTCCTCAGTACCCCAATTAGACTGCTCTAGTAAAAGAGTAAGTATAGTTGATACAAAACAAAATAGGTTCAACAAAAGAGCACCATCCTAATAGGAGACTAAGATAACATTAGTTAAAAATGAGATGGTCATTATAATCAAAATACTGCCAAAATTCTGACAAAACCCAAGCTGTTATACTACATGAACAGAGGCTACAGTCTAAATCTAAACAATTCTGGGACAGAAACATGATTTGAAAAATAAACTCCAAAATTACAGGTTGCAATAAATGGTGATACAGACTAAACTTTAAGCACAAGTGACATGTTAACATTGTATTGCTACTTGAACTTTCCAAATAATGCTTGTCCATGTCAGGTTTGGGCTATTATCCTGCTAAGACAGAAAGCACTGCATTTATTCAAAAGCCCAGATTTCAATGTCTTGGATAAAGAAATCTTCCTTCTTAGAAAGTGTATGATTCCCAAAGGTTTTACAAGAATGGCTTCTTCCATGGTAGAGATCTCCATCAAGCCAAAGGGCAAACTCTCCTCTGCAATACATAAAAACAAATCTCTCAATATTTATACCCAAAACTGTGAAATAATTAAATGGGACATTTCAATGTCCAACAACCCTAAACTACTAATTTTACCAAACCCTTTCTTACTCCTTTTCCATATTAATACAAGCAATTTTGTTATACTCCTATCACATTATAAAATAACTCATTATAACAGACCAATAAATGAAATGAGTCCTTTAAAATTAACTTCCTAGAGAATCAGTTTGTGAGACAGGTGCTATTCTTGTTATTCTTTGCCTAGTGTTAGGAGTTTCTCTGTTATATTGTTTTTTATATACTTAACAAGATTTTCTCAAAGGCATGAAAATTCCTTATCATCTTCCCCACCCCACCCCACCCCCCCAAAAAAAAAACTAAGGTTAACATTAATGGGCTGGTTAGGGTAATGTTTCTTTGAGATATTTAGAAGAATTCTGTGGCTAAAAATGTATTATAATATGAACAAATAGTTTATTTTTTTCTCTTTTCATAGAGATTTTTGCTATAGGGCACGTGCATGCACCGGAGAGACAGAGTGCAAAATCACCCCTTAGGGGAAATGGTCACTCCACAATCCCTTCTCCTCTATTGTCCTCTTGGGATCTTCGGCATGCAAGTATACACGCCCGGCATGAGTTTTAAGTCACCAGGTCCAGAGCATGAACTGTGCTTGACTAAATGGGAGAACAGCGACGTAAACAATGTGCTGGTGCTGGTATCACATTAGTTTTTTTTTTCCTCTAACATGGTAAACTTTGTAAAAAGAACTCTGGTTTTCTGGACAGGAAGTAGCACAGAATTCAGTTTGAAAAGTCTTTAAGTAAATAAGTATGTGTGACACCGAGATTATTTTTTTATCAAGCAGAAGAACAGATAGAAACCAGGTATCAGCGGTACTTTTTTCTGTCTTCCCGAGAGGGAGGGGGAGGGGCCGGCAGGTAGCATGCTGGTTAAAGCCTACAACATGGCCAACCACGGTTCCAGTCCTGGACTTGATGACTTGAAAATCACCCTGGACACTTGTGCGTACATGTCCAAAATCTCAAGAGAATGGAGGAGAAGGGACTGCTGTGTGGCCACACCCCTGGGGGGTGATTTCTCACTTTCTCTCTCTGTGTGTCTGTGGCAAGTGCACATGCCCTATAGTTATGAGAGATTCATGCATCTCTCATATGCTTTTCTTAATGGAAATTATTCTTCCATCTGAATTGGACAAGACTTATAGTTGCAAAGACAGAAAGAAAAGCCCAAGTCAAAATATTATACCAAGAGTCCAGATGGTGGCACAGCAGTAACCCAACTGGACCACATGGGAAGGTCCTGAGCTTACATCCAGGGCCTCCCCGTGCATGTCCATGCCTGTGATCTGTCCTGACCCGAGGGACAGTCGAACAGGTTTCCTGAGGGAAGGAGAGAGAGACGGGATGAGCATCACAGTGTTACAACTCTTCAGGGTCGTCCGGAGACGACGCAGTGCCACAGCTCTTCAGGGTCTTCAGGGTCCTCTGGTGATTGTGGGCCAGAGATTGTGGTTATATACATGTTGGTGGGCAGTGATTGGTTGAATGAAGGATTGTAAAAGGTGGGTTATGATTGGTTGCTTTTTTTTTTTTGGAGAGGTTTTTTTTTGCTATAGGGCACGTGCGCTTGCCAGACAGACAGAGAGAGACATAGAGACAGAAAGCAAGAAATCACCCCCCAGGGGGGATGGTCACGCCGCAATCCCTTCTCCTCCATTCTCTCGGGATCTTGGGCATGCACGCACACATGCCCAGCGTGAGTTTTAAGCCACTGGGTCCGGGACGCGAACCGCAGTCGACTACGT